TAAGTTTGTCATCATATTTTGAGTAAAGAGATTAATGGAAATGTAGAAGTATACTTATATATGTCAATGAAATATAATATTAATGTTTGGAAATGATTCTATTACTCTCTTGTACAATCAATAAAACAACACGAAATTATTATTTAACTTTTGAAAGGTAAAAGGGAAAATCTTGGTGGACAAGGCTCTTTAACTTGCGAGGGAAGGAAATGAGAATTGATTGTACAAAGTTTTATCTTATTAATTTATTTTATTTTTTGTAAAGAAGCTATTTTCAAGACTCAAACTCGTGATCTTTCAACGAAAAAGAACAACCTTATTACTAGTGTTCTACGACTCATCCTAATTATTTTACTTTTGTAGTTAAAATTTTAAAATTATAAATATAAAAAAATGAACGAGGATAAAATCATTTTAAAAAACACAGAAATTTGTGTTTTTATTTTAATCTAACTATTTGAATTGAACCAATTCAATCTTTTAATTTGGTTGGAAGGGGTTGAGAAAATTTTCAAAATGTAAACTAACTCAATTGATTTTGATTTGTATATTTTTTCCCCCAAACCAAACCAAATCTTAAACATTCTTAGCCCTATTTAAGTGAAGTACATTGCATGGATTCAAACTTTTGTACTCCCTTTCTCTGTCACATAATTTTCCCATTTAGCAGTTAACTAAAACCCAAAACTCTGTCTCATTTAGCATAGGAGGAACTAGACCATTTTACTTTGGGTTAAAGAGATATATTATTTGGGAGGTAAACTTACTTTTGTTTTTTGTTTTTTTAGAGTTGACAATTTTGGTTGACATAATACGACACAAATTTGACACAAACACAAATACATTCAATACGAACACGATACAAATTTCAAAATAAGTTAAAGCATTCGACAAGAATACGACCCGTTTATTTTGCGGCCGACATGACATGACACAATATGAATAGTCTACTAATCTCAAAATATGTCACTTATTATGCGGGTTGACATGACACAAAACGAATAGAGTCATTGCGTAAATCTCAGGAAAGAGGTGAGAATCTAGAGCACTATAGGCAGGGTTTAGGATGAAATCCAGTAGAGTAACACTAAAGCATAATGATGTGTAAAAAGTGACATGCGATATTTATAGAAGAGGAAAATTCCTTGGCACAAAAAAGATGAGCCTAATCGTTTTTGCCTTGTAGGCTCCACTATGATGTAAGGCAATACACCCTCGACTTATGTGTGAGATGTGTGCATAGAAATATAAGTATGATGAGAGAATATTTATCCCACTTTAAAAATATAAGTGTTAGACCCCCATACTAAGCCTAATGCTCTAGTTAGAATATAATACATCTCCCTTTCAAAGTCAATAAGGTGCCCGTGTGCCACACCTTGAATATTGGTTTGTATTTGGTATGCGTGTCGGATTGCATACATAATAGCCTTGCAATTGATTAATTACATATCCATAATGCATATTGGAATTATTTGCAATTTTAAGGTGTTCATTGGTCAAGTTTATAAAGTCTTTTGTTAAGTTGTAAAAAATTGAGATCGAAACTTATTTCTACTCAGAAAAAGAGGATTTCAATAAAAGGATTTTTTTTTCTATTGCATAATTCATACATACAAAAAAGTTTTGTTATAGCAAAAAGACACCGGTTTATATATAGGGTCATTGGTGAGTCATAATCGTTAGGTGATAAACAAAGCGAGCAAGCAACATAATTGCTTCGCTTGGAAAAGCTGTGAGGTGAAAGTACACTTCTTTCATTGTGATTTGGCTCCTACCTTTCATCTGTATTGTGGATAACAATTAGTTCAAATCCCTATCTGTTATTTTCATTTAGGGTATGTAAGTTTGTTATGAGGTATGAAAAAAAATCATGCAGTGGAACTTTAATGGTGAAGTTTATAATTGAAAGCTACCTGAATAACTGGTTTCCTATACTTCATCTATATGTACTCTTCTTTATGTATTGAAAATGAAATACAGTTACTTCACTGCACAAAAGGTAATATAAAAATACAAAGTATGAAATTGTTTTCATGAAATACACATGAAAAGTCATTCGTAACAAATAAAATTATCCAAAATTAAATAATAATAACAATAGAAATGAAAAGTAAAACAGAGTCATCAAATGATTACTAACTTATAATTATGTTATTATAAAAAAGTTTTCTTCGTATAAAAGAAATTTTTTTTTTGAAGAAGAAGAAGATTAACACATTTTCTAAACTATTTCACGAGTTTCCAAATAAATAGCAAGGCGCCAGTGGAATTACAATGGAAAAATGGCAAGGTCAAAGTTGAGAGAGAGAAGAACCCTATTGTTTATAAATTTTAACCTTTGCTTCACGTGCCAAGGATATTCTATTTGTGATTTCCTTTGAAATGGCATTAGGTTCTGATTCGGGTGGGTGACCTTGTTAACCGGCAATATTTATTATAATATGCAATTCACATAAATTAAGGTGGACAACAAAGATATACGCGCGATCGGTGCCGTATATTACATGAAAAATAACAGCTATGTCTAAATTGAAAAAGGAGAGAGAGAGATTTATAGTATAAAAGCTAGGCCTTAATTTTCAAGTACTTAGGGTTATCACCAACTATATATTTTCTGATCAATTTCCACATGAAAGAATAAACATGTATCTTTTGGCCCACACTATGGCAAGGAATAGCTAGGCAAGTTTGGTTATCACTATATTTAATTAGGTTGCTAAAAAATTAAAATGCAAAATGGCTATCGTAGCTAATTTGACTATATATTTAAAGGGTTATGTTTATCTCATTTTACATGATATAAACAATTTTCCTACACACAAAAAGAGATTGAATTTTTATTATAAAAAAAAAAAAAGAATTGAGTTCTACTTATACTTTTATTTTTACAATATGAGATAAATTTTTTCCTACAACATAAAAAAAAATATATCCCGTCCGTATTTCTTAGCACGCATATTTGTGCGGTGTCGTGCATAATCACTTCGTGAATCTTATGTCAATTGAATGATATGTTTAATTCCTTATAATATACCTCCATATTTTGGGCCATTTACAAAACAAGGTTCGGAAGTATCATGACTAAGCCCAATTTTTATTAATTAGTTATCCAAATCAACCCACAGTCATTTTGGGCCTAACTATATTACTCATTCATTTTCCTCATGCCCGATACCATTGCCCAACCCGTTCATTTCCATGCAAGAACCTCCACGAGAATTTGAAGCCCTCATTGACATCCAAATCGTTTACCCAGTGAAGTCAATACACAAATATCCAACTAAAGCTCATGTGACTAAAAGGGGTGAATTCAGTGGATGTTTCTGACCGTTGAACGTGTCTAATCAAATGGGATATGCTGCTTGAGATTACACTTTTGTTACTTTAACTGCCCTTATGTGATGAAGACAGGATACTAACCAAATACCAATCACCAAATTAAACGAAATTAAGTGAGAGTGACGAAGTCTCACTCTACAAAGTGAAAATATCAATAAATCAAGGGCTTTGTTTTTCTCCACTCACGTGAGAGTAAAAATTTTTCTATATACAAATATTTAAGGTGGATTCTACTATTAAGAAATAAAAAAATAAAAAAATAAAATAAAGTACATAGATGATATATATAAGGCTGCTCGGTAGGAGTCATTTATTTTGAATGCCACGAATCTGAATTTGGGATTCGTATTTATCCATGTTTGATAGGATTGTTCACAAAATTTTTCCTGATATCTAATTTGTCCAAAAATTTTATCTATGTTGAAATTATCTTAAAATTTCTTTTCCCAAAATACCACCAAAGAGGTGGTATTTTTGGAATACCGGATGATAGAATTTTCACATCAAAATATTCGGACAAATCTATCCTTCTCTGCCGCAAGCATACAGATGACAGAGCTATTTGTCAGTACTCAGTAGCACATGTGACAATGTCTAATTCACTTCCCTCTTCTTGCCTACCACCTCTTTACTGTTTGAGGGTACCCCATAAAGACACACTACTCTCACCATCAACAAGGTTTGGAGATCAGAGAGGGGAAGCTTCAATGCTTTTTGATTTGGAATACCAGCCATGATTGAAACAAATTCAAGAGACAAATAATGAAGAAGATTGGAGTTCGATCTAAAGTTACCTAGGCTAGCTATACTCTCTTTTGTAGCATTTTTATTTTTTTCTTTCTTTTTGGTTTTTTTCATCAGCTACAAAGGAAAAAGCTCCTAGATTTTCTTGTTCTTCTTCTTCTGATCAGTAAGTAGTGAGTGTGAATAAAAAAAAATAAATGTGGGGTTATTTTACAAAAATAACCCCACATTCCCACTAATATTTCACAATCAATCAAACACAGACTCAATAAATTTAATCAAATAATCCCAATAATATTTTGTCATACCAAATAGCTTTTTGTAACATTATGTGGTAATTCACTTTTCTACCATATTTAATCATGATTCTCATACACCAAACAAAATTTCCTCTACCAAATGCCTTCTATAAGTGACATGAGAAATACTATTTCCAACAAAATAAGAAAATATTTTCTCATAAATTAATTGTCCCAAGGTTTTAAGTCAAGATCTAGTATGAGTTTAATGTTATAGCTTCGTCACTTAATTCATTAATGGAAGGTTCCCTTAGTTTTGGTCTCATCCCTAACACAAATTTCTAATGTGAAGATAAAAAGGCTGATGTGTGCATATGCACCCTTTTCCCTTTGCCTATTTTGGGCCACAATCCAAACAACAGTGAACTTCACAAATACAGATCTTGACTTGTGAAATGAAACTCAAGTGCATTTGAAATCACAAGCGACGTTGAAATTTTGTCCTCAAGGGAACCACGGGATGTGAAATGGGTCAGCTAAGTTAGCTTTGATTATGGCCACAAACTTATTTTCCCGTGACCCAAAGACCCCGTGAATGTATTGAAAATTATCATGCTCCTATTGGTTATATATTGGCTCTATGCCTCTATGAACAATCTAAACGAAGAGACGTTGCTTTTGGTAATTAGCTGCAATTTCTACTCATCAAATTATTTACGGTTGAGATCTGATCCAAGTTGATTTGTTAATTATGGCAAATACCTCTTGCTCCATTGAGCTTGAGCCTAGGACACTGAGTCAAGTGCAGCTCACCCAAGCAAGGGTACATAATTTCTCCCTTTGCAATTCATTCCCAATCTTTCTTTCTTTCTTTCTTTTTTAAAATTTATTTTGGAGGCTCAATTTCCTAATATTTATAAACACCCCCCCTTCTTCCTAAGAAAAAAAAGAAGAACACACACAGAAAGACATCCCAACATTGATGAATTTTCAAACAAAAGTCTTATGTTAATGATCTCTGTTGTTTCATCCAGGAAGTAGCTGCAGAGGTAGTTCAAAAGTTGGAACCAAGTGCAGCATCAGCTTTGTTTATTGAGGTATGATTTCCCAAACTTTGACATTTCGTATATGTGCTTTGGAGAATTTTAAAATGTACCTTTTGGTGAACCATAGAAATCAAATCAATGACAATGAATGTGGAAAGGTAAGATCTTATTATTTACTTCATGATATATTATTTTATTTTTTTTGGGCCAAAATTGTCCAAAGCTGAGGACGTTGAGAAAAAGTTAAGAATTTACTTTGAGCCTTCTTTCAGTTCTTTGATTAAATTTCCTAACATATGTTTACGCGTATGACTTGAGAAATCATTACTTCGAAAACTTCAATTTATTATTTAAAAAAAAAAAGTTTACTTTTAAATACTACCTCATCAGTCATCACCTTATGTTGAATGTAAACAATCAAGTTCTTCCTTATTCGTAGGTTTAATGAATGATGCAATGTGCTTATTCATTACTTTCATAGTCTAAAAGCTCATGATACATAACATTCGGAAGTTATAACAACACATCTCAAACATTCTTAAACAAAGTGTATAGACTAAATTTAAAGTGATTAAACTCTTAGATATATTAATAATATTGTTCAATAATACGTTCACATACAAGTCCAATAAATAAGAGCATAGTTATTTGGGTTTATATGGGCTGAAGTCCAATAACTTGTATTACTAAGCTGAAGGTAACACTGTTGAACGCTCTAAACTTGATATGTCTTGGTGTAATACGTCAAAACCATTCTCTCTCAGATTTATAACTTTCAACATCAACATATGTTTATTTCAATGCTTATCTTATCAATGAAATAATGCTTATTGTTGTGAATGAAGGGGCTCATGCATCCAATAAAGGAAGAAACGCAGATGGAAGAAAATGGAAGCCAAGTTGAGAAGCTAATTGATGGCTCGAAGAAGGGTGAGGCTGTCACTGATGAGAAAGCTTGCCATTGCCAATGCTCGTGCACTATAGAAAAGCCATTATATATTGACCTAAAAGAACCCCTTTCTGCACCATTTTGATTTTTAGCCACACTGCCGATGGTTTGATTACATTACATGCTTTTGAATTTGTCCTTTTTTTATAATCTCTTGAAAGATGTGACTATGTGGGTGATGTTAACGCCAATATTGCTAATAAAGTAGAGTATTCAGAAATGCACCATGAAATGAAACACATGTTTTTTCCTTTTATTTTTATTTCGGATTAAGGGCGTGATTTCAAGCCTATACAATCAACTGTAGGCCTCATTCGATAATGGACCTGCCTCCGTGTTGTCATGTAAACTGGACCCAATTCCATGATGCAAAAATAGTAATGTAACATTTCCGGAAAAGAAAAAGAAAAAAAAAGGGTTTGCTTATGACAGTTCTATACTTCTATATAAATAACAGTAACCATAATAATAATTGACGAATTTCAAGATGAAAAAAGTAATGCTAACTGAAAATTGAGACATGTAAAATCAGATTTTCTCTACGTTCTTTAAACATCATTTAGTCAGTGTTTTTTAAATATAAGTTCAACTAAAAGGAAAGTTATTTTAACGAGGACCGAATTTGATTTGCCTAATTAAATAGACTTTTCTTTAAATCTGAGTCTGACTTATTTGCTTAATAAGTTAGAACGGAGTAAATCATGGATAGGTGATTAGGTGGGTTGTTTATCATTGCCACCCTTAAGAAATCACATTAATAGGCATGAAACTATGTCTTAACTTATCTTATTACAACTTCGGTTAACAATTTAAATTTTTTACAGAATTTCAAAATATTTCAATAAAGGCATTAAGTTTAATAATTTTTAATAATAAGATTACATAAATAATTATATGCATATATAATAATAATAATAATAATAATTATTATTATTATTATACCAACCTTTTTCATATTTACTTTATTTACTTCTCTTTATATTATATTATCTTATCCTTTTATATATAGAGAGGGAGAGATAAATATTCTGAGAGAATGACAAATATTTTGATCTCTGACCTCAATTATATGGTATATGTATGATTTGTCAGGCGAGTCTAGGAGGAAGCCTGTGGGGTGAGACCACCACTAATGGGCTAAGTGGATCAACTACACCAAGTGGGTCCGATACCACATCTCAACCCAAAACCTTAAGGCATTGGGTTTATAGGTCTTTCCACTTATATACTCTTCACTTAACCCATTATCAACCAATGTGACACTCATCACACTTGAATATCTCAACAATCTCCTCCTCAAGTGTGAAACCTAACATTGATATGCTCCCCACTCAACAGAGTACCCCGGGGCCCAAGTACTCTACCTGCCTCCTAGCCAATTACCAGGCTAGCTCGAGCACAACCCAACTCTGATACCATTATCAACCAATGTGAGACTCATCACACTTGAATATCTCAACAATCTCATCCTCAAGTGTGAAACCCAACATTGATATATGCTCCCCCTCAACAGAGTACCCCGGGGCCCAAGTACTTCTACCTGCCTCCTAGTCAATTACCAGGCTAGCTCGAGCACAACCCGGCTCTGATACCACTGTCAGGTGAGTCCAGGGGAAAGCCTGTGGCGGGAGACCACCACCAATGGGATAAATGGATCATTTACACCAAGTGGGTCCGACACCACCTCTCAACCCAAAACCTTAAGGCATATCTCAACATAATCTCAGGGTTATGAAAATGGTACTGGACTGGATTGATTGTTCAAATTGGTTCAACCGGGAATCTATTCTCAACCCGTTCGGTTATTAGATCAGTTCTACATTCTGAGCAGTAGCACGACTCTTTGACCAATTGGGATTTTTTGATATTTTAATTTTTTAATTTGGTATTTGATTCATGATATTACCAATTAGGGTCATTTAGTAACGCGAGGGGGACCCAGCGTCACTGAGTGCCACTACCCTCCCCCGCATCACTCACTATTTTTATTTTGTTCCTTCATGTTTATACCTCCACCATTGTACCATTCAAAGCTTGATACCAAGATGACTGTGTTGATTTATTGGTGCAATAATTAACCAACAACGGCAATAACAATTTCGTTCTTTCCCCTCTGGCATCGCACGGGTAATTCACTAGTTATTCTATAAAATATGATAATATGTTGTTTGAAACAGTGACCTAAATGCCACATTTTCTCAAATGCCACATGAATAGTACTTTCGGATAACCTAAGAAACACTATCACATTTTCCCAAATGACATATCAAACCGTCACGCATCTAAATTTGCTATGTAGCAAATTTGGTTAGACTATGTGACCCGTTCTCATTAACGTACCAAATACATTACCACAGACAAAATTGTGTTTTCTTACGAAAGTGTATCACGTGTTACAAAATCATAGATGATTAAATTTGCTATCACTAGTAGAAAATTTGGTATATTAATGAAAACGTGTCACGTGGTCTAACCAAATTTATTATCGGTCACAATAAATTTGTATGCATGACAGTTTCGTAAAAATTACTGTTCCTATTGTATTTTACCAAAAAAATTTAATAAACGTGGTAATTTTGGTGGATGTCTCATGTTGTTCAGTCACGAGTGCTGCGTCAGTGGGTACCTAATATTCTTTGTGTTTGGCAATGATAGATATTAAAAATCTTAATAATCCGGTGGCAAGCTCTATTAAAAATCCTAATATTCTTCGTGTTCAATCTTCGTCATGCATCATTGAGAAATGTAACTGAGAGGATATTTGGCATATTTAAATCACGGTTCACAATTTTTAAGTTAACACCTCCATTTCCATATAAAACACAAGCAGAGCTTGTGCTAACATATGTAGCACTACTTAACTTTCTTCGCAAAGAATGTCATTCAGATAAATTTTCAATTGAATCAGTAGATGCATCTTTATCTTCAGTATCACCAGTTAATGAAGAAGATAATTTTTAACTCATTGGTCAAACCCAAGGGCAGGAATAAGAAGATGCTGATGCGTGGAGGACTAGTATAGCTTTAGATATATGAAGAGCTGATGCTTAGTAATTTTGAATGTTTGTTAAAAATTATATTAAGTTTTACTGATTGAAAAAATTATATTAGGTTTTACTTCTTTATTATTATCATTGCATTTCTTTATTATTATTTTTATTGACTCTTGTAATTTGAAATGTTTGTTAAAAATTTATATGGTTTTTTAAAATTGTATAAATTCATATTGTCCTTTCAAATCTTATAAATTATATTAAAATTTATAAGATTTTTTAACTCAAAAAAGTCTTTTAAAATCATAACTTAAAGCACCCCTAAAGTTTATAAGCCCAAACCAAATTGAAATGTAAAAGATAAAAAAATTTATTCAGAAAGATCACATGAAATAAATTTTCATTAATATCACGTGAAATAATGTTCATAAAGATCACATGAAAATGTTCAGAAAAATCACATTAAAATTTCATATATGTATATATACATATAATTTGCATTTTCTTTACTAATTGAATTTTATATTATATTTTAAATTTTAAATAAATATTTATTATTTGTTAAAATAACATTAATCCTATTTCTTTAAAACTTAATGTTACAAATTATGATCTCAGAATATGTTTTTAAATGAATAATATATATCATAAATATATTATATTATTAAAAAAATAAAAAGTAGGTGTAATTATGATAAATATTTTGACATGTCAGATTTTTTGACTTCGACTAAAATTAAATTCTGGATCTGCCAGTGAGCCTCTGCTTCCAGTGGAATCAATAGGAAAAGGTAAAGAATTACATTAATATATAGAGGAAAACTATTAAAAAATAAAATTCAGAAACTATTTTAAGACCTGAAGTCTAGAATTGAGAGTTCTCTCAAAAGCAGCCCTATGTTGTTCTGCCATTTGCTTCCTGTTATCATGGTGAATTCTAGTCAAAAACAAATTCCATGCATCTGATCTAAAAACTGAAGGAAAAACAATTCCAGATCATGTGTTATTGTGTATTCACCTGCATGGCTACAATTTGCCTTAAAAGTGGCATTGTAGACCCAGATCTTGTATTTCACTTGCCTAGATAAAACACAAAACAAATTATGCAAACTACAAAAAAACACAAATTAAGTTGCTCCAACTTAAAAGAAAAAAAGGAAAAGCAAAGATTGAACTTAAACAGTTGAAGCACAAGCAGAAAGCTAAGAAGCAGACCTGGTAGCGTTTTTTAAGATCTCAATGTCTTTGCGAAACATATCTTCTTTGAAGAATGCCTGAAAATGAATTAGGTAAAGGAAAAAGTGTGTATAATTTTTAAAGATGTAAAGTTGTGAGAGAAGAAAATAGATTATAGGGAATATAGTGGACAAAAAAAATAAAGACATAAGTCTCGCTCTTTGTAAGAGTGAAATGACACAAATTATGTTATTTTTAAAGGACAAATATTTTTTCTTATTATAATATTGGTCATGGGCTTTTAATTTTTTTAATTATATGATTTTGTTTTCTCTTATAAAGTTAAGCTTGTTACACCTTTATTTACGCAGAGCTTGTAGATGGACAAAAAAGCAAAATAAAAGATTTCATTACATAGGATAAGTTAAGAAGTTTGGTTAGAAATTTTTAAATTAACGTAAAAGAGTAGTACAGTGTGAGGAAAGGTGTGTAGTAATGAAGAGCAAGAAAACGAAAATAGTTATTTGCGAGTGCAAGGCCATTTATTAGTCTTTTTTTATCAGCTTAATTTTTTGGAAAGTTATAAAAATCTTTATAATTTAGTAGTTTATAATTTAATCTTTCTTATTACCCCAGTATAAAAGCGAAATTGAACTTATGTATTGGCCGGGTACCATTCTAAAAGCTAATATATATTTGGATCTCTTAAAAATATAAGTTTCACGAGTTTAATAAGTTCTTATAATAAATATATCAATCAAATAGAATTTAACATTAATTTCAGGGTTTAAATTAGTCTTTCAATTTTATTTTGATCAAATTCGTCTCGAGAAACCCACTTAATATCAAACATTACACTAAGGGTAGGGGTGTTCGCCGTCTGGATTGGATCGATTTTGGAAGTAAAAATAATCTGATCGAATCCCTTCGGTTTGATCATGTAATCATCCATTCGGTTTTTATTTTTTTTCAAATTCAATCCGATCCAATCCAATTTTTTTGGGTTTGAATTGGATCGGTTTTCAGTTTTTTGAAAATCCTAAAATTTATTTCATTATTATTATGCAAATAACTTTTTTGCATATATTGAATTTGTAAAAAAAAAATTTGAAATATAAAAGCATTAGTAAACTATAATATTATTTTATTTTATTTTTGCAATGATATATGAAGCTCTACAAAGATAAAATTTTGTTGATGAGATGTGATTAGATTTTTTCTTGGGTTTAGTTGATGGGTTAACGGGTCTTGAGTTTAGAAATTTTTAAGCTATGATTAGGGAAAGACCCAAATAAGTAGAGGGGAATTAATATATTGGATCGGTTTGAATTTGATCGGATTTCATCAATCCATCCAAAAACCGATCCAATCCAATTAAAATTTGCGGTTTTTAATCGGTTTTCGATTTTCGATTAATTCGATTATCGATTTTTCAGTTCGGTCACCGCGGTTTAAATCGGTTTAGATCGGTTGATGAATACCCTTAACTAAGGGGCCGTTTGGTTTGGTGGTAGAAAGATAACTGAAGGTGATAATCTTATTTATTCACGTTTAGTATGAGTTTTTAAATTTTTTTCTTTTTTGGGAATCGAATTTTTCAGAATTTTATTTTGTGTGTAAATTTTTTTGAAAATTTCATCCAAAAATATCACTTATAAGATGGTATTATAAGATTTCTATGACAAATATTTTTTAATATAACTAAATATAGTATCAAAAAAATTAACTCAATATTTTCAGAAATATTTAAACTTGCCAAACAATTTTTTTATAATATTTACAAAAAATTCGTTTCCCGAAAAATTCATTTTGCCACCGTATTCCGGATATATTGTATATGTACAAAGCTCCCATGGGAACACACACAAATTCCACCCTTCTTTAAATTTTCTCTCTCTCACTCTCACTCTCTCAAGCTCCATTGAAACACATGCACCACCAAAAGCTCATTCATTCACACACCCCCACAACCACACCACACCACACTGTACACACACGCAATCATTCAATAGTGTCACTATAAAAAAGCACCATTCCCATTACAAAAAAGAAAAACAGGGGAAAACAGAGGAACAACTAGTTAGGTAGCTCCTCAGAAAGATGGTGAGTGAGCAGAGAATACCAGAGGAGACTCTACAGGAGTCAAAGGTGGCAGCTTTGGAGAATAGTGGCACAATGAGTGGACCCCTCGTCGGAGCCGCCGCGGGAACTCGCCGGCGCCGGAGGACTGAGGCGATGCAGTTGATTCTGAGGGTGTTATGCATGTGTAGCTCGGTGGTTTCGCTCTCATTCATGGTGACAGCCAAGGAAGCTAGCTCAGTCTCCATCTATGGCTTTCTCTTACCTATTCACTCCAAATGGTCTCTCTCTGAGTCATACGAGTAAGCTTCTTCCATTTTTGTTGTTGTTGAATGCTTCATCATTCTCTCTGTTAATTCAAGATTGGTTTTTTATTTTGTTACTGGATGTGTTTCTTTTCTTTTCTTTTCATTTTTTAAGGTTTTTTTTTTTTTTTTGTTATGCTAATTTGATGAGGTGTTCGTGAACAAATGGGTTTGGTCCTTCCTTCATTTTTTTTATTTTTTATTTTTTGAATAATTTTTACAATGTGATTTCTCATAGGAGAGAGAAAAAGGAAAAGCAATGTAAATTGTGTTTCTGAACTAACTAAAAAAAAATCGAGTAAAATTTTGAATATATGCTTTAATCAAATTCATATTAAAAAGTGTTACTTCATTTTCTCACATTTTTTTTTTCTTTTGCTGAAATTTCCTGGTAACCAAGCACAAAGTTCATGAGAGTTTGGTTTTCTTTTTATTTTATTTTAGTAGTATTATTATTGTTTTTTACCAATGATATCTTCGGACTATGGATTTAACAACTGCGTTATGGACAAAATTGACCGTAAAAAGTGGGGCCTTGGCGGTGTTTGTCATGACTCATACATCGTGACATTTGAATGAACAGTCATATGCCCGTGATGGAATTTCTCTTTTTTCCTTTTCTTACACTTTTATTTGTGTTTGTTTGTCCCTTTGCTTCCGGTGTCTTTTTAGATTTACCAAAATTTTGAACTTCCCTCGTACCCTTTGTAAAAATTGATCTTTTATGGCTCGTAAAATGTTGGCATAATCTTCTTTGGACATGTTATATTCACAAATTTTTTTATTTATAAACTCTTAGAAACTACACTATGTTCTTCCGGGAGAACATAGTGTGATTTGTAAAAAAAATTCAAAAAAATTTGTAAACGGATCCTTCCCCATCTACTTTTCCTACCTTTAGCTTTTGAATTTGATTAATGACTGGTACTTTGCTTGCTTATGATATACTCAAAAATAATATTTACAAGTGTACAACTTGAAATTGAACTATAACCTCTTGCTTTGAATAATCAAAAACTTATTCATTTGATTTTATATATAAAATTAAGTTTACTGATTTTTGTCTTGAGCAGATGTCTTGTTGGAGTTTCTGTTGCTGTTGTAGCTCACTCCTTGCTACAACTACTCATTGGCACATCAAGATTTCTTAGGATGTCTTCTGTGATTCCCTCCAGAAATTATGCATGGCTTATTTTTGCTGGGGATCAGGTATATATAGTTATACATAATTTTTTAAGGTTCATCATGTGATCAAAATCAATACTCGTTTGGTTCCTAAGCTGTCATTGTGCTTACCAGTTACCATGTTGGAAATGCCAGCAGAAATTATCATTAATGATGTTGCCAACATGCAAAAAATTTTCAAGTAAAATTCAATTCTTAAGGAAAATGATTGTCTTTCATGTCAACATTTGTAGACTTAGAATTACTGAGATAATCTAAACTGCAGTCCAATGCAGTGGCTGGAAAATATAGTCATAGCTCTTATTGATTCTTTGTTAAGACCAAACATATACGGATTGCACCTTTTATGTGTTACCTTTGTCTCAGTACTTATCACATGCTATCATTCTGGCTATACTATCAATTAATCATGATTAGCTCCTTCAATTTGTTTATGCAGGCATTTGCTTATGCATTGATGAGTGCTGGATCTGCTTCATCTGGGGTGACCAATCTGAATCGCACTGGAATTAGACATACAGCTCTACCAAATTTTTGCAAGCCTTTGCAAAAGTTTTGTGATCACGTTGCCATCTCAATAGCCTTCACTTTCATAAGCTGTTTTTTGCTGGCTACATCTGCTGTTCAAGATGTAATATGGCTCTCCAAGCACTGACTTCTTGGTTCATATTCCACATATAATGTAACTAATTATCCGAAACTAAATTCTCCATATAATGAACCCTACCCTTTGATCACTACCTTATAATCAGTACTCTTGCTTTCAGCTCTCCTGTATCATGGTTACAAGACGTTCTTTCTGATATGTAATGAAGGCCTTGTATCCTCTTGTAGTCTTGTTCAATGACCTTCCTTTGTGAAGGCTTGTGATCTGTGAATGTATTATATGGCTATACGATTGCTATGAGCAATCTTTTAATTTTAGGTATGTTCTACTTGCTCAAGAATCTAAAGTATAAAGTAATGTTTAACGAGGAGGGATATTCTTACTACCAAAATTTTCTACTACCAACTTACTACCTATCTAATTACCATTAGATTAACATTTTCTCTCTCTTCAAAAACTTTTTAACATTCTCTCTCTTTGATCCAATGATGATGTGATGGGTAGTAAGTTAGTAGTAAGAATTTTTGGTAGTTAGAATATCCTTACTCATGTTTAATTACATTTTCCAACTATTGCAATTTGAACATTGTTATCTTTAGCATTCATATTGAAGCCTGTGTAGTGGGCCTGGTTATGAAGTCGTTTGACGTAGCAACATTTTCTAGTTATGAAGTAACTATCATCCATGAATACTTAAAAGATGAGAGCATACTAACTTTCTAGTTGATACACACGATCCCTTTGCAGGGCAAGTGTACAACATAATTAACAATTATAGTACTAACATTATATTAAGCTTTGGGGGAAGAAGAGAGAACTTTTAGAAACTTATGAGGAAAATAACACAATGATTATATAATAGACACGTCATCAGACATGATGATACTAACAACAAACAACTTTGATAGAAAACATAAATTATTACACATATTTTATTTTATAACCACACACACGTCTATTTTAATCATTGTCAGTGGTGCTGGTACTGATAGATAAATTTAGAGCTTTTCTTTCTCCTGAGTGGACATCACCATAAACATCTTTCCACCGTAAAAATGATACCTTCATAGAGAAAGGTATTTCAAACTGACTGTGAAACTTGCATTACTCTTTCAATTGATAAAGCTGTCTAAAAAATATATATATCACTAGTTTAGAAAATCACATCAGCTTAGCTAAAGTTGTGAACTAGAGCGAATTAATCTTTTGAATATGGCTTTCGACCTTGGATTAAATAAAAATGGGAGGCCTGGTGCCTGATCCAAAAGCCCAAATTAAAATAGCAAATTTTAATTTAGAATTAAAACATTTAAAAACAATTACATAAAAACATAAGGGTTGATTTTTGATTTGAAAAGACAAGATCTAAGACACTAAAGTGCTAAAACATTTTTGTTTTGAATGGGGATCCCTGTCACATTTGTTCCAATGAAAGGTCATGGTCAAAAGGATGTTTCACTTATGATTGTTGGATTTCAGTTCAAAATTTGAATAACATAACTATCTCTGCATATTTTGTAGTAGTCACGTTAGCTACTATTTCGCCCTCATTCCAAACTTAAAAATTTGAACTTGACCATGAAACCCCCCCACCACAGCACACACGTTATTGCCAACAATTCATAACCACCCAATAACCGTCACAGCCCCACCACGTAAACACATATGTGTTCCTCTTAATAGCCCATGTGCTCATCATTCGTGTCTCTTATATATATATATATATACACACACACACACACTTTCCTCTACAATTTGCATTTAGTTACAATCATTTATTGCTTTTCAGCTTGTATATGGTGAAAAAGAAGAACAAAGACATGGCATCACTTTTTGGCGTACTTTGTACTTTTATGATGGTTTTTTTGGCGACCACGGATACTTCTGTTGAAGGTGCTAGGGAATTCAGAGTTGGCGATCACTTGGGTTGGCATGAACCTGACTCCAACAATACTGCATTTTATACTCAATGGGCTGCAAGGAACAGGTTTCAAGTTGGTGACTCCCTTGGTATGTTTGTTGAATCAGTGCACATGAACTAGTATTCACTAGCTACTTATTGGCATTACATTAACTCTTGAAAACGAATTGCATTGCATTTTCACTCATTTATTGATTACATGGTAATGGAACTTTTCTTAGTAAACTCTTTTGTGTTACATTTTTTGATTTTTTGATTTTTTTTTGGAATAATAAAGAAGTAAAATGAACTCCATTGCATTTGAATATACTTACTTAATATGAATTGTAAGTTGTTTATGTTGAAAACTGAGTTCTATAAGTTATATTTGTTTGAGAGAAAAAGAAAAAAAAAAGAGTGAGTTTTGTTGTCTGTTTTTTCTTTCTTGAAAGTAGGCAGGTGATACCTATGCCCTCATATTTGATAAGGGTTGTGAAAAAGATGTGTTTTTTTGATTCATGTTCATTTTTGTGTGCAGTTTTTGAGTACCAGAATGACTCGGTTCTGGTTGTGGAGAAATGGGATTATTTTCATTGTGACTCAAGTGACCCCATCATTGCATTTGACAATGGGAACAGCACTCTCACTCTTGAAAGGTCTGGTTTCTTCTACTTCGTCAGTGGAGATGATGATCATTGCCAGAACGGTCAGAAATTAATTGTAGAGGTGATGTCACCACATCCAATTTATAGCTCTCCACCCTCCATTTCTATTCCACCAGAAGGTTCCTCTGCAATGGCTCCTTCATTATCTTCTCATGGCTTACGGCTTTCAGCCTCCATGGTGCTTGGTTCAGTCTTTATGGCTCTTTTGGCCACATTTGTAATTGTGTTCCTTTCAGCACCCTGAACTTCTTGTTATGGTTATAGTGGTTAACTAGTTGTTTTTCCCTTTTTGTTGATTATTTTGAGTCTGATTTGTCTAGGTATTAATGCATTTGATGAACTATAGTTATTTTTCACTATCAACTACTTTTAATGATGATATTATGTTATGATTTTTGTCCTTATTTATAATCATGGCTTGACTTTTTGCTTTTGGATGAAGTGTTGTGCTTGTTTATTGGGTGTTCCTTCTTAAACTAAGAAAACATAAATTTCCAAGTAATAGAAGAGTACTATCTTTTTGGTTAATATATTATATTGGAAGACATTTTTATATAAATAAAGGGTTTGGTGGATAGAGTTATTTCTGGCCCAAAAAAATATTATTTTGAATTGTAAGATTAAAAAATTATAATGATGAAAATTAATATAATCCTGCAATAAATTAAAATTTTAAAAATACTGATTACTGAATTCACCGGAGTCTATTGACCAGAGAAATCAATTATCCATAAATAATTACTTCGTGTGCTTTTAACTTCCTTTTCGCATTTCTCTTTGTAAAAATTTTAGAGCAGTTCTAAAAACTTTGCTTCATTGTAATCGTTTGTATGTGTGAATTCTAATATGAATGATTGTGTAAAATACACTTAATTTAATTGCCTATTGTTGAGACAATTATTGAAAATTATGTTATTTGAAATTTTGAATAGTGGAAGGTGTCTGCATGCCCTCCCCATTAGTGGGCCCCAATCTCAAAAAAGGCTTAAAATTTGGGCTCTAATAAAACTCTTATGATGTCCTACACAATACGAAGGTCCAAGCTCGTTGCAGGCCTTTTTGATTTTGGGCATCCGTGAGTATATGTTTAATTACATATGCTTTTATTCACCTTGCTCCTAGGAAGGAAAAAGATAAAGATAAAAGAAAAATAAATCTTCTTTTTCTTTTAGACAAAATGTCTACTTCTGTGTTTATAAATTGCTAAAATCATGATCAATTTCGTCAATGAAAGGAGGAGAAGATGCCAAAGAAAAAAAAGGAGAAATAGACTTTTGCTTTATTAGTGCACAATTTGCAGAAGGGAGAACGAGTTTTATACTGCCATAAAATACTAGAAAGCAAAATGAGTATTTTGTTGAATCAAATTCCTAGACAAAACACCTTTTTCCGACATCAATAGGTTTCTATCAACGAGCCACGTCTTCTTCATATATCTATTTCAGATTAAAAAAGAAGACTAAGCCCAATGTGTCACCTTCAAATTTTGATTGCACCATCTACCTTTGTACCCTTATGTAGAGTGAGAAAAAAACTTAAATTGGCACGTAGGCATTACAATTATTGATAGAATCCACCGTTCAAAGTGAATCATAACCATTCAGTTCAAGCTGAATATATGTGCATTATGTGTGTGATAGGAAATGAAGTGACCGAAGATATTGAAACTAAATAAATCCTTAGTTATCATATATTCCTTATTAGCTGTCTTTCTCATGGTTTTTTAACCTAACGCATGCACAAATTTGTTTTCTAGTGATAATAATTAGCAACTCTTTCTAGGTGAATGATATAACTCATATTGTTTATATAATATCCTATTCTAATTTAATTTATATTAAGTCAAGCCCTAGTCTTCCAAGTTTTTTTTTTATATATTTAATATCGTAATTCCCACGTGATATTCCTCCAAGCGATTGTTAATTTTATCCTCTAAAACAAATATTTGCAAAGCTCGAAAGAAAAATAGTCAATAAACTCAACCTGGAGCACAAAGTGCCAAAATGACATCACAATGATTATAAGATCCAACCACTTCATAAAACTAACATTACTTTTTGGATCGCAATCGATATATGGCAATTAAAAATTGTGACTGCAAATATCAAATAATTTAACACCCGACACGGCCAATGATCATCAATAGCATATAATTAGTCTCGCGTACAAGCATTAAATAAGACTGAGATTGAGTTTATTAATTAATTTTTTTATAATGTCAGAGGTTTAAGTCTATAATATTCAGGTATGTGTGGAAAGAAATAATTTTAACATTGTATACGATAGCAACTTGTAGGATGCAATTTGTCCTGAATATATGATTATCAAAAGGGTATGCCCAACAATTCATTTTTTTTAAGTGATCATACACCTTAGAAAAAAAAAAAAAATCCCCAATTTTTTACAGCTTCGTGAATCACTCAATTGAACAAAGTTGTCGTAGTTGTATATGAGGGAACAAGTGACCATTTTGTCATTGTTTCTAGTCTTTTTTATTTAAATGTCACGTCAACAGTCTTTTTTTCCAAACTGCCACGTAGGCAAGTTCATTGGGAATTGTAGCGAACTGTGCATGCTGATGTGTCAGCTTCCTAGTGGCGCACAAGTTCGTTACTGACACAGGCGAACTTAAGTGCAATAAATGATGACACCTATGACAAGTTCGCTTCCCCACAGAGCGAACTAGGTGTGTCACGTGTCTAACATGCACCTAGTTCGTTGGGTTTCAGGCGAACTCTTTGCCATGTGTCAATTGGCACACAACTCGTTGAATGGACCAGCGAACTAGGTGCCAAGTGGCAGCCACTGACACAGTTCGCTGGACTATGCAGCGAACTCTATGCCACGTGGCAGCTCCCTAGAAGTTCGCTGCATGGGTAAGCGAACTACCTGCCTACAGTTGACCTAGATAGCGAACTCAGTGCTATTTAAACCCACCCCTTCCCCTCCGAGACCCACTTTGTGATTCTCGTGCGTTTTACTTTAAAGGATCCATTGTTATTTGTTATTTTTTGCTATTTCAGTACATAATGAGTGAGAGCAACAATGATGCAATATGCATTCTATATTAGAATGAGAGAAGATATTTTGGACCGAAGGGTCAAGTGTTTGAAGGAGATACAAAGATGTTCCGCATGAATCCGCGTTGCAAATATATTAAGCTGAAAAATAATATACAAGAAGTTGAGATTACAACGAAGTCAATCCCTGTCTCGACTGATTGCTAGATGCGCTTCTGGTAACCCGATGCAATGGGTTGCTGTGGAGGTGGTGGAGGATGAATATGTGTCATTATATGATATATTAATTACTAAGAAATGAATAAATATTCAACATTATTTAATTATTCTATAATCCATAAATAATTAAATATTACATAATAAATAATAATAGCATTAATCCATCTTAGCACAATTAATAACACTAATAATAATGCATAGTCAATAAATAATATAACACAACTAATATTCTACATTGATATTTTCAACCCTATAACAAAATAATGTTATTTGATTATTAGTAACAACAATTGCATAATAAAAAATTACAAAATACAATAACTTAACAAGATTAACTGTGTAATACAAAAATTATATAATATATTAAATTATAAATACAATAATATATTATATTATACAAATTATATAATATATAAAAAATAAATACTAATTAATAAGAAATAAATAAATCAATATTGTTATTTAATATAATATATTATATTTAATTACATTATATTTAAAAAATAAATACTAATTACTAAGAAATATATTATATTATACAAAAATTATATAATATGTAAAAATAAATACTAATTACTAATAAATAAATAAATACAAAAATTATTGTCAAAAATTTTCTAACCTAATTTTCAATCCTATAACGAAATAATATTATTTAATTCAAATATATTAATTATTGGTTAATCAATAATTTATTAAATACAAAATTTAACAAAATTAAAATAAATATTTTCTAACCTAGATTTCAACCCTATAAATAATATCAAACAATTAATATTATTAAATAATACATTAATATACATTACTACACCTAATAACATTAACATACATATAGCTTACCAAAAAAAAAAGATTAACATACATATTCTAAGCCAATGTCAAAATTTTCTAACCTATTTTTCACTCCTAGATCTAAATAATTTTATTAAATTCAATATTATTATTTATTGCATAATTAACAAATTATTAAATAAAAAATTTAACAACATTAATATAAAAATTATCTAAACCTACACTTTAACCCTATAAATAAATAATGAATATAAAAAAAATTTATTAAATAGATTAATTAAATAATATGGCACAATTAATATTCAATTAATATTACTAATAATTGCATAATTAAAAAAAATTATTGATAAATTTAACAACAGTAATATAAAACATTTATAACCTAAATTTAAACCCTATAAATAATAGCAAACCATTCATATTATTAAATAAAGCATTACTATAAAATATTAAACTACTAACATAAACATGCAATTACTAAACTACTAATATTAAACTAATTAAAATAATAAAGCAAATAATATGTCTTCTAACTTAATGTTTCATCCTATATATAATAATTAACAATAATTAAATAACAATAAAAAATTGTAAAAAAATTAATTAAATTATAAATTACTAACCTCAAATAAAGACAAAGAAATGAAACGAGAGAGAAAGAAAATTTAGAAAGGAGGAGAGTGAAAGAGAAAAATGAGAGAGAGAAAAGAGAAATAAGAGAGTGAGAGAGATGGGATACGAGTGGTGGGCAAATAGGGGGGTTATATAGGGTTGTGGAAGTAGCCGTTACACCAAGTTCGCTACCCCCCAGCGAACTTGGTGCATGTCAGCCACGTGGCATGCTAGCCGTTACGCAGAGTTCGCTGATGTGGGCAGCGACCTTCGTTGCATGCAAGCCACGTGACATGACAGGTGAGAGGGTGCAACGCATTAATTGCTACGGAGTTCGCTGGTGACAGTAGCGAACTACGTGTCCACCAGAAACGTGACACATCATCATACAGAGTTCGCTACTTCTCTGGGTGAACTTGCCCTCGTGGCAGATTAGTATATTTCACTGTTGGCGTGGCATTTAGGGAAATAAGTTCTGGAACAGTGGCACTTTGTTCACTATTCCTGTATATGAGTGGAGCTCGATCGAGCTTCCATTGATAGAGGTCAGGAGCAGACTATAAGCAGTGCTCTAGTGAGTAAAAAGGGTTGATGTTTCAGC